CATCGCACGAGTTACCAACCAAAGCCCTTTCAATCAATATCATGTCATCGACACACTTCTCAACATCCTAGACGCCTTTTCAAGGCTGACAGGTAACATCTTCGTAAGGCATTTCAGTGTGAAGCAAAGAGACTTTGTAGCAAAAGACAAGTTCGTGTTCTCTGGGGAATCCACCAGAAAACAATAAAAACAGTAAAGGGGGGCAAAATTAGTACGGCTTTTCCGCCGTATCGGAAGGCTTCGAAAGGCGCGCTTATGGAGGTGCCCTTTATAGAGGCGACATCTATAATTTGAGACCGTGGCTGTTCTGCCAAACTTCCCATCGATGAATTATGTTAACGATATTACCCAGGAACTGGCACTGGTGTTTGAACAGAACTCCAAATTGATGACCAGATGACGGCCCTGATGGCTCGCTATTCACCGTGTCAGTGTCGGAAAGAGCAGTCTCTCGTTAGGTACAGCGAAGATATCTTGTGAACCCTGACGCCATGGTTCAATCAACGCAGCGTCCCAAGTAAGCGGCGTAGTACGTCCGTTCAGGTCTTGGAATTCATATCCTGGCATACCAGCGGCCGTCGTTGGAAGTCAGAGAAGCTGGCGTACTCCGCCGAGTGGGTGGAGCTGGCTTTTTTCCTGGTGAACTCTGTCGCCGGACGGTAAGTCGGAGTCTAACACCTCATTCGCCGAACTCGTCGCTTGAATACTTTCAAAGGGATCGACACCGGGAGGCCTGTACATGTTTCGTTTGTTTGTAGGTCCATCGAACCAGAGTTCCTGGGCTGAAGCGCCATCGCTAGGCATTGGAAGTTTCTTTCGAGAAACCGAACCACTCACCTCGGTGGGTAGGCCTGATGATTATCGTCTACGCTCTGTAAGTTCTTCATACCGGTCGTTTGGTTGGGTCCCACCGCCGTCACGGCCTTTGCAGGATGTCGGTTCCTTGTCATTGCCGAGGCGGGTTCTGGCTGGTCCGGGTTGCCAAGACTCCCCAGCCAGTCCGAAGCTCCAGGCCGGTAGGGCTGCGACAGCTGATGACTCGACGGTTGCGGGCGAGCAGAAAGAAGAGATGAGAATCGACGTCAATCGCCGATGGTGGAGGTGCAGGCTATGTGATGGACGGGATCTGCGGAACAGAGTGACTGCAATTTCGAATTCGTTCCGCCCTCGTCCCGCCCTCGTCTGAATAACTTCCCAGCGTGGGCCTGCCTGTTGCCCGACTTCGACGCGGCTACGTCGGCCGTTGATGGTGTCCGATATGCCGGAGAGTCATGGGATGGCTACCCGTCCCGTCTTGATCAAAGTTTCAACGGCCGCCCCTCTCCGATAGTTTATGTTTCGTTTCGGACGGATGCCGCAGAGAAGGGGTGTATGGATAAGTTGGGGGTTTACCAAATTTCTCTCGAGCTTGGCACTAGAGTTTTTAAACTTCTCCCACCGGGCTTTGCCCACGCGGACTGCCCCGTACATACTATCCGCAGCAAAGTGCCCAGCCGGCCGGATGCAACAAAGCTCTCTCTGGGCGTTTACTAGCAGCGATCAGCAATGCGGGAACTTGTTTTTTGGCAAGGGCGAGCTCTTTCTATCAGTTTTGATTGTTCTCTTTTTAAAGTTTCGACTCCCCCGCGAAGTGACTTGCAGCTGTGGATTCCCGCGATGTTTACTTGCCTTACGCACCCCTGGCTCTTGGCCGATCGTCGTAAGCGGTGATCTTTTTGGTGGGGTTTTTTGAACGACTTGTGATGACTTCACATCAGACCACACTAAACCATTTCAAAAATGTCGCCAGTTCGGACGTTGATTGTGTTGTGCATCTGGTCTGAAAGAGGAAAGTTACACGTGGTGGTTTAGTAGATGGTGGGATGGAAGTTGAGACGTCGGTATAGCTGACTCAATAAACCTACAACAAAATTTAGCTGACAAATTACGCAAGAAGGATAGTATCAGACGAGGGGGGACACAACAGAATTGGAAAACGAGTTACCTTCGCATTCCCCGGATTCGGGTACTGTCGGCAGGCACCGACACGGACATATTGTTTCACGTCACGACGAAGACTGTCACGATTACGTCGCTGCTAGAGGGAGGGTATAATGGGTGAAGAATAAGTATTGAACATTGAAGTGTGAAACTTTGTACAAGAACATGCAAATCCCAGGATTTTGTTGGGGTCAAGCGCCTGGTGTGAAACTTTGGGAGATCCGTTTCCGAGTCATCTCGTCTTTCTCTCGTCCCTTCCATCTCGTCTCAAAAGGCTGACCGGGTATCAGATGCGAGTCCGACTGTCTACTCTAAAACTCTAAATTCCACTTTAGGAGCGCTTGCGAAGAGCCCGCTTGGCGTTGCGCTTGCAAGGGGCCTAAAGAATGGTAAGGTTAGCTGAATGTGAACCACTTGCAACTGTTTCAATCCGAACTCTACTCTGATGACAAAAGAGCCTCAAAGAGATGGGACGTTGGTGTAGGTAAGACTTACGGAAGAAGAGGGGGTAGCGGAGGGAGTGGCGGAGACGGGGTCGGCGGCCTGGTCGGAGCTGCCAGAGGCAGGGGTGGAGGGAGTAGCGGAGGCAACGGCCGAGGTCACGAGGGTGGTGGGAGCGGCAGAGGGGGTAGCAGAGCCAGAGCCAGAGCCAGTGCCAGAGCCGGAACCGGAGGTGAAGTCGACGCAGGACATGTAAGTCTGGCCGGCCTCAGCAGAGTCCCACCACCACTGGAGAACGCAGTTGCCGGCAGTGCCGCAGTTAGAGGGGAGGGAGTCGGGGAGGGTGACGCTGAAGGCGGTGTTGTTGGCAGCGACACCGGTCTTGGTGGAGGCGTAGTTGGTGAAGGAGATCAGGGGAGATCCGATGATGGAGTTGCTGGTAGTGTCGACGACGGAGACGTTGGCGACACCGGTGTGGGGAGCGCGGATCTCGACCTTGAAGTCGACGGTCTGGCCGGGGGTGTAGCTCTGGATGTTGGCAGAGTTGTCGGCGAACTTGTAACCCTTGCAGAGGGCGAGCTCGCACTTGGAGGAGTCGAGGCTGTTGCCGGCCTGCTGGGCGAGGCCCTGGATGTTGCCGTACGGGTCGGACTGCTCGGTGTTCCACATGGTGGTGCCGCAGGCCTCCTTGAAGGCATCACCGGCGGGGCGGGGAGTGGGCGAGGTGACCTTGCCGTGGGCCGAGACGGCGGCGACGAAAGAGAGGACGGTGAGGATGTTGGACTGCATTTTGACTGATTTCTACACGGTAGAGTTTGGGTCGGTTTTTTTTTTTGGTATAAAAAGAGGGTTTTGACGGTTGGGATTTGTCTTGCAATGTTCTGAAAAAAGCTTCAAAAGAATGGCTTGTGTCTAGCACAGCTGTAAAGAGAGTGTTGAAAGAATGAACGTGAATGAAAATTCGGACAAGTTTGGAATGGGACGAGGAGATCAGATCAGAGGAACGAGCAAGAAGAGTTTGAAGGCCATGGAGGATGGTCTTATACAGTTCGACTGGCAAACCCGTCTCTACGACTTGCCGTCAAAGTTGTGGGTGTCATGGGCGACCCAGTCCGGACCCAGCCACGGACCCGGAGCAATCTATGCAAGACGGCTTGTTGCGATCGAAGCTTTCAGGGGAACTGATAGTACCTTGCATGGTCATGGACTCATACGCAAAAGACGAGAAAAAGCTCAGGCCAGCCGTGGGCAGTCAGCCTGCCATGGACAAGACGAGACGTGTTGCGTATACTCTAGAGTACGGATAGACATCAGCGAGTAACCCTCCAACCCTCCAACAGCCTTCCAAGACTGGTTACGGCCACCAAGACGGCCACCAAGACGGCCACCAAGAGCCTAGAGATGTGATCCATCCGTGGTCCTGGAACATGCCAGCCAACGACTCCCAGTCAGCTCCATGTGGAGGGAATGGCAGCGATTGGGCGGATGACGGGCAGGGCTCCCACAACGGGCAGTAGTCGCCCAGTTGTTTAATTTGAGTGAGGCTAGGTGGACACTCTTTCGACCGAGTCTTGCCCGTCTTTGGCTGACGTTCCAGCGCAGACGCCGTGACGGCCACGACAAGTGACGAGGGTTCGAGTTGGACGACTCGACCGTGAGATGGGGAGGGGGGAGCGCGCGCCGCACGAAGCCGTCTGGCATGATCCTTGCCTCACCCTTCTCGCTCCTGAACCGGGATGGCTGAAACGGCGCCATCACGCATCTTTCAGGCGGCTCCGCCATATGACCCCCACCACTTTGCTTTACTCGATTCGATGGAATCTGGACGGTTGACCTCGTTCACGTTGTCGTAGTCAGGCAAAAGCTATGTGAGCGAGGGAGAAGTCACGGTCCCTTTCCTCGTCCCATCTTCGGTTCCTCGGCCTCTCGCATCTTCGATGACCTCAACGGGAGATCATATGAGGATCATTACGACCTGGAACGTCCCTGGAAGCGAGAAATAAAAGGTCGATGCGCTTGTCGGGAAGCTGCCTGTCTTTAAAGGGCCATGACAGATCGTGTTTGTCGCTCTCCACGTTTTCTTCGTCTCCTTCTTGGGAAAAATTTTGAGTTGCTGTGCGGGTAGCTGGCCTGTTTCGAGAAGCTCCCTCCGTGAAGACAATCTCGACTGCTGCCAATCTATTGATGTGAACTGGAGCTGGTCGAGCCTGACCCTTTCAAGTTCACATGCAAGCAAGGGCGATTAGTCGAAACTTGACCGTATCAGTAATCGTCGCCCGGAATTAGCTACCGACTGGTGAACGGTGACAGCAATGCACTGCCGTTCAATCTGGATGCATCTCACATAGAATGAGATCCTTCTCTAGTGCAACTTCAGCTGTCCAGCCCGATCGCGCTGATGGCATCACTCGGTGTGCAGCCGTGTCTCATAGCCTTAACGCTCAGCGCATCTGTTCATCAACTTCAGACCATGAACTTTTGCCCATGTGGACTCCGTCGCACCCGACTTGGCTCCCAGGTCGTGGGCCACTCAACGGCACGCGTCATTCAAAAACGCCAACGCATTCCCAATTCTCTAAAGCGGTTCTGTTCTCTCTTCTGGTCTGCTATTCGTACCCGGCTTGGCTGATTGTCGGTGTGCAGACTGGCTGCCTGCGGCCAGGCCAGGCCAGGTATTGCCAGGCAGGGCGCTCATCGGTCCTGGTTTCTTCTTCTCGCCTTCTTCGTCCGATCATCAACTGAACACATTGAAACTCACCCCCGTGCCCACATCGTGGATCCGAAGCAGGGTCAAGGGCGCTAAACCTTGTCCCATCAGCGGGTACCTGGGCCAGACCAGGCACAGGCACAGGCTCCAGGGCCCCCCTCGGCCCCTCCTCCTAGCCAGACTCCTCCTGAACAGAACTGAGCCCGTTGGATTGGGCCGTTTGAATTTTACCTACAGGTGAGGAGGAGAGGAAGCAGGGAAGGGGAAAAGGGGACGGGCGCGGATATACAAGCGAAGAACATGGCTGCAGCTGTTTATGCGACGGAGAATGTGGGAGATGAAATGCACTTTTTAAATTTATGGGATCATTGGGATGAAAGATGGAGAAACAGGAGCTGAGGCCCCTCCACATTCCCGCTGTGCCTCTCGAGATGGGCCAAAACGTCCATCTGCTTGATTCGGTTACTGACCGATTCTATCGGCCGAGAGGTGATGACATAATCATACTCCGTACACACAGAAGCTCTCCTGAATTCCAATCTCTCTTCATTTTTGGTGTCTGGCGGTCGGACAGTGGATCCTTTGACTTTCGGGATGCAGCAGGATGTCGTCAGTAGCCGCCGTTCGGCATGAAGCCGGGCGGTTGGCCAGATGATGGCTCCTAGATTGACAAGAGCTATCCATTTGGGGTCCCAAATGAGATGCGTAGAAGGGCCCACGAGACTCACGTGAGAAGCCGCCTACATCACCTTCATAAGTTCAACCAGACGAGATAGGCCACCTGCCTAATACGAACCACAGAGGACTCAAGGGGTTTTCTTCTAATATCAAAGAGAAGGGTGCTCAATACTATATCAGATTGACGAGTCTTTCTTATTTCTGTATGAAATCAAAGGAAGAGACTCGGACATGCACACAGTGGAAGTCTGTGACTCAAACGCCAGCCGTCAAAAAAGAGACCTCCTGAGTGGCGTGAGATAAGACGTAGACAATCCGAAGGAGAAGTCGTCCTTCATAATCGGCAAGTCAACTCCTGACGCTTATCTACAACTTACAACACTACATGGCATTTCTGTGTTATGAGTGTTTCGCTGGTCGCACTCCAGCACTCAACTCGGTGATGGTTCGCACCGTCATAAATTAGATGGCTGTTCTTTGGCTGCCGTTGTTCTGCGCAGAGCATCCAAAGAACTGTCTTCATAAATCTTGATTGCCATGCTCACCATCCCTGCAAATTTTAGGCCGTCTTAAGTTGAGTATGCTTGAATCGGTAGTGCACTTCTTCCCCGGCCGCAATCCGCAGCTATGGAGTTCCACTTCCAGATGCCGCGTCATCCGTCTTTCGCGCCCGGCGCTCAATCTGACACGGCCCTTGCAGCTGCGACGCCGCCACTGGACAAGTCTCGCTGTTCCGGCCGGAAGCCCATTTTCCTCGCCGTCACTGCGGCCTCCCTCATCGGCTCGATTGTCAGTGCCTCGTCTTGGTCTCGGACGTGTTTATTGTGATAGCCGGGCGGGTACCGGCTGTGTGACCGTTTTCGACTCGACGCGGCGGTCAATGACTGGTCCTCAAATATGAAGCGATGTTGAACCTAAGGTGACAAACAAAGTATCCAACATCATTCACTTAACAATTCCGAGAGTAAAGCTCATACTTCGCAAATGACAACCATCCAAAAGCTGATCAATTTCAACTCATTCGGTAGCTTGAGCCACAACTATCCGGCCTCTCGTGTGTAACCAGAGCAGGCTGGGGCCACATCATTCATCAACCTCTCGTAACCGGCGTTTCCGCCTCTTCCTCTGCCTGGAATAGCTCACTCAGCTCCTCTGAAACTTTGATGACCTCAATAAGTGGCGGCAGGTAGCAGGGCTTCCGCGGCGCGCCTCCCAAAATTTGACCACAGCCTTCATACCCACGAGCCCTAGGCCAGTGACAACCGAGTTCCCTCTCGCAATGACTGCCTGCAGCTGCTCCGCCTCACGGAGCTCACCTCGATCAGAGAGCTCCCTGACGCGCACGCACGCATACCTTGCGAAGTTGGCGAGGCCCGCGATCGTTCCGTTCGCCCCGAGGACTTGACACTGGCGGATGGAGTTGGTGTTGCCGCTGGCCACAAAGAAAATCTCAGGTAGCGGAGCATACGCCTCCTTCGCGAGATTTTTCATGTTGTCGTACTTGAAGTTGACGCCCATGACGTTGGGGTGCCTCGCGATACGGAGGATGTCGTCTAAGGTGAGTTGCATTCCCGATACCGCTGCGGGGAAGTTGTCGATGACCAGCGGGATGGGCGATCTGTCCGCGACGTCGTAGAAGTGCTGTATGATCATTTCATTGTTGACGACATATGCGTAGTAGCTTAGAACTGTTATGAATGCGTGAGACGCGCCGCTCTCGGCTGCGTCTCGACATAGTTGAAGTGTTCCACGCGTCGACTAAGCACCGCACGCGGCGATCAACGGAGAGCGGGTGTTCTTGAATCTGTCGCAATACTCTCTGTAGATAGTATCGGCTGCGCACCTGATCATGGTGCGGCGTTCTTCCCTCGTCAGGTGCACTGCTCCGCCGATGGAACTGTGAATTACGATGCCTGCTACCCCTGCTTTGATCAGTCTGGTGACATGATGCTCGAGAGTGACTGTGTCGATGTCCTCGGAATGACTAAAGAAGGCGAGAGTGGGAGCGTATACTCCATTGGGGAGACGAAGATGCTTTGCCTTGGGTGCCCCTTGCGAGGCTTCCGCCTGCGAACTATGAGCCACGCTATCATCCGACATCATCCTTAATAACTCACTGTTAATAGGTGTGTGACATAGGGAAGAAGCTCACAGAGGCTAACTACTATTAGGGTCTAAAAGATGAATTATTAAAATCTACCCTTTTTTCGAAGTATATTATTAATACTCTATATATACCTAAGCTACTCCTTTATTACTTAGTCCCCCTTTTTATACTCTTTAAACTATTTTTTAACTAATAGGGTCTAATTAATAAAGCTTAATAAAATACTCCCTCCCCTAAGTTTTATTTTAAAAACTATTTATAGTTTATATACGTTATATTAATCCTTTATTTATAAAATTTTTTAATATATAATATAAGGATAAGTAGAAGTAGCGCTTATTAATTTAAATATAAACTTTTTATTTTAAATAATAAGTTTAGTTAGCCTTATAATTTTATATTTAGGTTATTCTTATTTATAATCCGTTTTTTATAATTATTAATACTTAGGTAGTCGTTATTTTACTTTTATTTATTAATATTAACCTCTTTCTAAGTTATTACGATTTTTAATTTCTTTTTTTTTTTTATAATTATTTTAATTATATATAGTCTCTCGCTTTTATTAACGTCTATATTACTTCTTTATTATATAAATTTTATAATTAATAAATATTTTTTAAATTTCTTAATTTCTTATACTCCCCGTATTTAAGTTAGTTTTTTTTAAAATTATATCGTATTTATTATTAATTCTATTTTAATCTAAGTATAGCTCTTTTTAATAGCGTTATTACGATTAGTAATAAACCGGTTATTAATACTATAAGTACGCTTAGTAATAGTAGTAGTAGCCGTTTATTTAAAAAACCTAATATCCTTTTTACTTACCCTAACTTTATACGTATATTATTATTTATATACTATTTATATTAACTATTATAAATTCTTATTAAAAAAAAAAGAAAATAAATACTAAAAAGATTATAGTTAGTTAAGTATACCTATTCCCCTACCCTACTTACGTTATATATAAGGTACTTAATTTAAAAATCGAGTATTATAATTAACTAAGTTAGTAATTTATAGTCCTTAGTTTACTCTTTTATTTAATACTTTTTTAAAATCTAGTACGTATTATATAAAATATACTGCGCAAAACTATTTTTATAAAAATATAATAAGTACTTAGTATTATTACTACTCTATTACTTTTTTTATATATTAATCAATAATATTTTAGGTCCCTAAGTTTATAGAATTTATAATACGAACCCTCTAGAGTACCGCTCTTATTTTAAATAATAATATTTACGATTTAGAGGTTTATTACTCCGTTATTACCCTATTATTATTACTACTTAGGTTATTAATATTATTTTATAACTTTAGTAAACTTATAAAATCGCTATTAATAATGCGTAAAGGGCGCTTAAGTGCGCTAATAAAGAGGCCCGTTTTACCCCCGTTATTAATAATAATAATAAAATAGTTATAAGCTCTTTTTATACTACGTTTTTATTTTATAATAACGTAATAATTATATTATTATATACTATTTATAACAAAGTACGCTATTTAAATAATATTTTAAAAAGGGTATAGCCGCCCTACTTATACTCTATATTTATAACTAATTATTTATAGATTTATTAATAATAAAGTAACTACTTTTTTTTTAATAATCCTAAGGATAAAAATAAGGGTAATCCCTCTATATATAAAAATAGCCCTCCTGCGGGTTATAAAAAATAAAAAAGCTATTTATAATTAGCGTATTTATATTACTTAATTATAACTATATAGCCCCCTTTTTTATTATTAATAACTAGTTCGCTACGTTATTAAGCTTATTAAGAACTAAGGCGCACTACTTAATTAAAACTCGTTTTTTATATATACTAATTAACGCTACGTTTTTAATATACTTAGCTAGCTCTTATGTATTTTTATTATTATTATATTTTTTTTACTAGATTAGGTATTATTACTTTTTTTTTAGCCCTTTATATTATATAATATCCTTTATTTTATATAGTAGCTCCCTATTTATATTTTTAATAAATAAGGGCTTCTAAAAGGCTTCCTTATAGTATTAATATGGCTTAAGTAAGAATATATAAAATATATTATATATTTTATATTACGTTAGTACGTCTAGTTAATAAGCTACCCCCGCCGTTCTAATTATTAATTTAACTTTAAATAAGCCTAAATACTTATTAACTAACTTCTAATTAGGGCACTACTTCTTAATATTCTTTTTTAATAATAATACCTAGTCGCCCACTTTATATAATATATTTATCTTAATTTTATTAGCTTATTATTTATATATTTTGCGTATTTTTTATATAAGAGGTTATAGAGCTTTTTAGTTAGCTTATAATTAGGCCGTACGCTCCTTAATTAAAATATTTTATATATTATCTTAAGTCCTTATTAAGATTAATATAGGGTAAATAAGTAAAAACCTAAATAGGGCCTTAATAAGCACTTTATAAATTACTAAGTACTAAGTATTATTATATATAAACTTAGCTAGGTAAAGACGCTATATTTAATTTAATTAATCCTAAATATAAAAGTAATAAAAGTATTATTTTAAATATTAATTCTATTATTTTATTTAATTATCTATTTATAAATAAAACGTAGTACTAAAATACCTCTTTATTATTAAAAGATAGTAAAAATAAATTTAAAACTTATTTATAAATAACGAGCCCTTATTAGAAACGATCTTTTTAAGTATTTTAAACTTTATAAAAATCTTTATAAATAGGAGGTTTATAAATTCCTAAGCTATAAGGGTCGTTTTTATAATAATATAAATATTATATTTTATAAATTAGTTTATTATTATAAGTACTATATCGTAGGGGTACTTTTTAATTAGCGTAATTAATATAAATAAGCTTATAATAAAGTCTAGTAATATCTCTTATTATAACCTAATTAAAATAAGTAAGGGGCATAATAAGCTATATAGCTTATAATAACGAGGCTTTATCTACTAATATACTATATAAGTATTAATATAACTTTTTATATCCTTACTTATTTTATTTTAATAATAATAGCGTTTTAATAGTACTATTATCTGCTTTATGTTATAATATTTTATTATAAGTATATTATAATATATTTTAATAACCTCTCTTTTTAGCCCTTTATATAGTAGTATATAAGCGCAGTTATTATAATATAATAGCCCTTTTAAATTATATACTTAGCTCTATTACTACTTCTTCTTAATTAAATAAGGTTATTAGTTCTTTTTAATTTACTACTTATTTTTTATAAAAACGTCCTCTTATTAAGTAGCTCGTAGTTAATTTATTATTAATAACCCCTCTTTATTAAATACTATTTTAAGTATTTTTATTATATTAAAGTCTTATAAAATAAATAGTTTATAATTTATAATTTTAATAATAGGCTTAAGTAGCTCCTTAAGTATTATATTATAATTTTAATATTCTAAGCTCGTAGCCCTATTATATTTCTTAAAATACTCCTTAGAGCTCCCTCGAGCTAGAGCTCTTAACCTCTTTTACTTATTTTTTTATATTATTACTAATTCTATTTTTAAAATACTTACTATTTTTTTTACTTAGGGGCCGCTCTTATAGCTCGTTTTTATATATTTTATTATTATAACTCTTAGAGGCTTTTATATATTTTTAGCGTTATATAAGTTTTTTTTTATTTTTAATAATAGCTCTTTTATTCTATTATTATTATTATTTTTATTATAATTAGGTTTTTATAATAATTTATTTACTAAGTTCTTAATACTTAACTTAAACTTAATTTTAATATTAAATATTATAAGTTTATTTAATTAATATAGCTATTTTTTATTTAGCCTTTTCTTAGTATTTAAGAACTATAAATTAAAATAGTTTATAAATATTATAACTTAATCTTAGCTATAAATAAGGTAGTATTACTAGTTTCTTAGTATGTTTATAATAGCTAATAACTCTATATTTTTTATACTATAATAGCTCTTTATATTTATTAATTTCCTTAATTTATAAATAATTAAGTACTAATTACTTTTAAATAATTACGTAATTACTAAGCTAATAGCTCGAGCTAAAGTATCTATTTATAACTATATAAATCCCCCCGACGGAGCAATCCGCCGGGGCCGTACCGTGTATTACGTATTGGGGAAAACTGGGTATATTGCGCTCCATACCTAACTACTAATCAAAACTCCCAACCTTCCGCCGCGTGAAGTCCTCCCAAGTTCCAGCCGCCTACAGGGCGAGCTTCACCCACTCCAACGCGCACAGGACCTCCTGGTGCCAGCCCGCGTGGGCAGCCAGGTCCAGCATAATCTGTTCTTTTATATGGGTATTATCGTTACCCGGGGGGTCCCGTAGGAGCCGTCTGAGGCGCCGGCTTATCGCCCTGACCCTGTACACCTCCGGCCCGTCCATCGTGGCCATTATGGCCAGGCCGGCGTCGATGTGCCG